TTCTCTAAAGAGATGAAACAGACGGTCGCTGGCCTGTGGGTTGGGCACTATGCACTCAGTGTAGAAACTCCGGGCCCTCTTCTCACCACTCAGGACACTGGCAGCTGGACCCTGAACCCCAAGCAGGAAGTTGAAAACTCCCCCTGGAAAACCAGCTAAAGAAGAAAAACCACCATACAAAGAAGCAGCCCTCCAAGGTGACCTTCAGTGACCAGCCCTGCCCACAGCTCTCTAATCCCTGCTCTTACCTAAGAGCAGACAGTCAAGGATTTCCAGGTGACTGAGGAAAGCCTCTATCAAGAACAACAGAAATCCAAAGCACGGTGGAGGAAACACATCACTCGGGGAGAAAAAAAACTAATCCAATCATTCCAACAACACCCTCATACTTCCGTGTCATGGGAACAGGGGGCTATAGCAGAGCATTCAGAGAAAAAACCCAAACATGTGCTCCTGAAACATACCAGCACAAATAAGTTGAGAAAACTTCTGACAGTGGAGCAAACAGACAAAGAAATAAAAAATAGATCTGAGGAAAAAAAGATTAAAGCCAGTTTAGAAGTACCATATCCACAGAGTCACAGATCAAGAAGGTAAAAGAGAGAAAAGAGGTGGAAGACATTGTATTAAAAGAAATATCCCAAAATTAAAGGCATGAGTTGCAAATGGCAGAACTAACCAGTGTTACAGAGGAAAATAGATGCCCACCAAAGCATGCCATTGTGAAATCTCAGAACAGTGGAGAAAAAGGAATATAAGTTCCCAGAGAAGGAGAGAAAAAAATGGAAGGAATGCCTCCAAACTCTAACTGAGAATTCTGTTCCCAAACAGACCATCAGTGAAGCAGGAGGGTAGAACAAAGACATTTTCACTCACTTGAAGTGAGACGAAATGCTGTGGGCCGACGTCACTAATGGCTTGTCACGTTTTATCGACTGTGTAATCTGAGGACCGCATGCCAGACCCAGTCTGTTAACAGCTGGCTCATTCTGACCACATACTAAACAGGTTCCCGATCCCTGCTCTAGGCCCAGCTTCCTGGAGCAGATGAGAATGATCCATCTCCTGCATAGAAATGCTGGGCTTGGGCCTGTTCCTGAGCTGGGGTAAGACAGAAGCAGAAAATATAAACCCACTGATTCCTATCCACATTCCCGTCCACTACCTGGAGTTCACGCTACAACTCTGGCAGATGCCCAGGCTAGGATACCTGCTTTTCTTAAGATCAGCTCATGACTTTACCTACTCAGTTCTCTTGTGAATTGAGGAAAGGGAAAGCCAGCTGATGACCCACACACAGTCTAGCCATCTTCCCTGAAACAATTAGGATTGTGCTTGCTTCCTATGTTGTCAAAAGTAAATAATATCACACTTAGGAGAACATACACAGGTGGTAACACTACAAGAGAAGCAAGGAAATGATTAACACAAAGGCAGGGTGCCTGTGACCTGGCAGAGTCAGCAGAGAGGGTGAGGGGTGACGGAGGGGCAATGGAGGCTTCTATGCTGGGCCACCTCTGGTGCCTACACTGAAGGGCGGGCATTTGTATTTTCATTCTATTACTCTTTAAACTCCTCACATGTATACAGTATGTTACCAAATAAAATTTATTTTTCCAGGATGAGGGACAGGATCAGATCCGTACATTTAAAATATCCCTAAGGCCGCTGTAAAGGAAGTGAATGTGAGCTGTGGAGGTCACGGGAGTCCTGAGGGTCAGCTGGATTGAGAGGAGGCAGTGGAGCCAGACAGGTTACAAATGAGTAAAATGCTATTTTTCTTTATTATTATTATTATTATTATTATTATTATTTTCTGCAGGAGAGGATATTATCAGAAGAGAGAGGGAGGGAGGGACACAGAGAGGCAGGGAGGGGAGAGAGAAATAAGAGTTATTTGGTCAATTAGCAACAACAAAAAAAAAAGCCCAAGATAATGTTCATTGTCAGTGATCACTATTGCTAACAACATATTATCTTTACACTGTTCCTCTAGTATAGTAGGCTCAAAATACTGTAAAGGTCATCATTCAATTAAACCTCAGAACACAATTCTATGACTAGTTTCAAAAGAGGTCTTTATAAGTCCAATGATACAAGCATGAAAAGTGCTGAGCAAGAAGGCTCGGGATTTGCTGTGACAGGATAAAATGCTGGGTGAAGACTTCAGTATAAGTAACATTCAGGATGCCAATGGCCCAGCCCAGCCTTAAACTCTTGCTGCATGTGGTACCTACACACCATTTTAATTTCATTTTCCAGATAAAACTTCCATGGCCCAGCAGAAATGAGCCCTCGGAACCGAAAAGCCCGCCTATGTAAGCCTTCTGCAACCACACTGAGTGTTCGAGGGAAGAACGGGGGATACAGCCTTCCCACATGTTCAAGTTCCGAATAAGAAGAGGTTGTTTTATGGCTTCCTCTGACCTGAGTAGATCATTCCAGCCGGTAACTTAATATTCTACTTCACATAAGTTTTAGGCATGATTTTAAAAGTGTTGAGAACCTGACTATACATTTCTGTCGGGGTATCTTCCTTTCATATTCTATCACTCCTAGAAGTAGGAGTACCTAACACCCAATAGGTACTCACACACTGTTTCCTGAGCCATCAAGGAAACTGAACCATCAAGACAAGCATCAGTTTCTATTATTTTTACTAAACAAATACCAAAAAGAGACTTGCTCTATTTTCTTTGTTTCTTTGGTAAGAAGAAGTGAAAATGAGATACATTACGGAAAAAAACAGTAAACCTAAAAAAAATTTCAAATCCTATCTTGTAATATAAGTCTTTGTGAAGATTACAAAGCATAACAAAACATTTAAAATGGAAACTGGCCTAGAAGGTAGCTTTTAAATAGTGGGAAGTGATTTGATATAGGAAGCTCACTCCCCCCACCTCCCCACCCCCGTTTATTCTTGAACAAGAGTAGATAAATTGCAATGAATTTCCATCTTACCTTAAATACTTCCATTGGAAGAGGAAACTTTGCAGCATCAATAAGGGATTTTTCCAGAGCATATTTCCATTCAGAGGCCATCTTCAAAGGATAGATTTCTGTATCAACAGCAAACCATGTAAGAGTTAAAGGACTAAAATGTTCTACTGGGTGGTTCTTTCTTGAATTTAATCTTCCCAGGATTTCATAATAAGCCAGTATGCTCAGCAACCACAAGTATTCACACCCTGTCCGCCATAAAAGGCCACCTGCTAAAGGGATTTTCTGAAGTTAAATAGCAACTTGGGATTCTGCTTTCAGAAATGAAGAATAAACTTAATAGGGCTCTTCTTCAGGAAACATTTGTATGCATTCTGTTGGCATTCTGTAAGTAATTTAATGGTATAAATCACATTAGCAACATCTTCAGCCATCCACTGCCCCAAATTCCGTATATTACCTGGGAAGTAATATCCACTGATGAAGAACTTATTATCTGATAAATGGCTAAACTAGAAATGACTCTTGCCTGGCATTTTCAGTTATTACAGCATATTTTTCACTAAGTCCCTAAGCTCTCATATGCTAAAAATAGTCCATGTAAGTCAGAAAATTATTAAAAGGTAAATTAAAATTTACCAACCAAGTTTAATATTTACACTTGATATGTTGCAAATGCACCACATGTCGCCCACAGTTTTCCCCAGGCAGTAGGGGGAGAGAGATTTACAAATGGAGGTTACACTGTCTGAATGCAAAATTAAAAGAAAAAATTGGTTGCGCACTGTTTGTTGTTCACCGATGGCTGAAACTGCAGGGGAATTTTATGATCTGATCTCAACAGATTTAAGACCTTATCAAAACAAGATTTGCAGAAGCACTCACTTGAAGTAGATATGTTTATATCTTCCCTATATCAACCTCAGCTACCTCAGACAGACAGTTAGGATGTGAATATGAATCTAAGTACAGTTAAAAGGCAACATTAAACCTTTGGGGCTATATTTTTAATTTCTTGCATGTCTGCTTTTTAGCATGGTGCCATATATTTTGATTCTCACCGCTTCTGAACTCACCTTGAGCTTGAAGCCCCTGTGTTTTAGCAGTTTATTTAGTCTTTTCAGACTACCCTAATTATGGTAGGCAAAGGATGCTGCCAGAACTAGCCAAGTCATCAATGCTCTGCCCACATCATTCACTGTCAGTTACACAAAGGCACAGAAAGGGGTATTAATGACTAAATAGGTTCCATTGTGTATAGTGTCTAGAATCCTTTCTAGCATTTCATTCATCGTCTTCTACCTCTGGGAATTTTTCTCCCCCCCAATTTGGCATTTCTATATCGGACAAAAATAGAATGTGATTCTCCTTAGGAGTGCCTAGAATATTTGGGGGAACACAGTGGGGCCCCAATGATACCTCTGCAAGGAGAATAAATGATTCTTCTAACCTCCCAGGTGAGAAGCGGGTACTGTGTGAGAAATGGCTTATCACGGGGTCCCACAAAGGAGAAAAAGAGAGGAGTTCACAGAAATCCATAAATACTCCCATGATAGGTGGAAGGATTGCTTGGAGTGCCCCGGTGGTTCGGCTCAGGGGCCTGGCATCAAAATCTCAGTGAAGAGGATGGCAATTCTGAGGTCTCCAGTGGACAAAGCCCAGAGGACACCCACTGCAGCCATTCAATAGGGCACGGAGGTTAGCAATAAGCAAGAGCCTGCACTCCTGAGGAGACAACACATTCACTCTCCCAGGGACCTGGAAGAAAGTTGGTAGGGAGTTCCACCTTAGCAAGGTAGTAAAAGGAGAACCGAGTCACAAGAAAGGATGGCGATTTCCAAAGACAAGACCAAAGGAAAGGTCTGCAGGCATAAAGGGTGTGCGGAAAAAGAGAGAGAAAAGTCAACCGTGTTGATGCCCTGAGCTTTAAAGGGGGGTGGGGGGAAGATAAGAGGGTAAAAGAAGAGTGGTAAAAAAAATGACTCAGTGTTGAGAACAATGAAAACCCAATGGCCAGGGTTAGATCCAAACTACCAGAACTAAGGAAAGTGATGTGCAGACCCCAAGTCATCCCAGATGCTCACCAAGTCACCCAGAAAGCTGAGCCCTCAGTCACCAGATGCCATCTCTCTCCCACCAAACCAAAGACAAATGTAACAAGAAGCCCTGTGTAACGAACGGAATGTTTGCATCCCTGCTCCCAGATCCCTATGTTGAAATCCTGACCTCCAATGTGGTATTCAGAGGTGGAGCCTTTGGGAGGTATCAGGTCATGAGGGTGGAACCCTCAAGTTGGCATTAGTGCCCTTATAAACACACACACACACACACACACACACACACACACACACACTAACCCCTTGTACCATGTGAGGACACATAAGACAGCCATCTATGAACCAGGGAACAGGGCCTCACCAGACACCAAATCTGCCCTTGACTTGATCTTGGATTTCCAGCCTCCAGCACTGGCAGACGTGTTGTTTATAAGCCCCTCATCTGTAGAGTTCTGTTATTGCACACAAAATGGACTGAGAAACCCGGGTTCCACATGATTTTTGCCTCTGTCCTACAATCTTATTCTTTGTCTTCTATCTGAGGATGGTAAATCCTAACATGGAATTTAACCCCATGGCAAGGCACACTTCTTCTCTTAAAAGATGAAAATCAACTTCAGTTTGTCAGTATGCTCAACACCTGCAAAAGCTAAACACCTAGTGGTTTCAATAAGCAGAAAACCATATTCCATGTGTGCGTTTCATTAGACGAGAGGCACATGGTTATATTGGCCAGTTTATGGACAATAAATAGCACCCTTAAAAGAACATAAAACCTTTTATTAAAATGATCGTGTTGCAGGTAATTTAATAGAGTGTATTATGTCAATTTCTATTGGTGGGGAAGTCATAAAGCAATTAAAATCTGTCCTGATTCATCTTTAACTAGAAGCTAAGTGAATATGAGGCGATTTCCCTTTGTGCAAGTGTTTGGCAGGCTGACTCGCAGTAAGTGCTATAGGAAGCGGAGTGCACAAAATCACCTTGAGGACAGATGCCTTTCTCCCACACACCCCGAAACCTACACTCCTTCCTTCTCCACCAGGTTCTGACCAGTGAGGGAAGACTAATCTAGGGTTGTTAACAGACACTGGAAAGTGTTATGGGCTGAATGTTTGTGTCCTCTCAAAATTAATGTGTTGAAATCCTAACCCCCCATGTGACAGTATTTGGAGATGGCGCCTTTGGGAGGAAACTGGGTTAGGTGAGGTCATGAGGGTGGAGTCCCACAATGAAATTAGAGCCCTTTAAAAGAGGAGACCAAAAGCATTTTCTCTCCCACCTCCTACACACACACACACACACACACACACACACACACACACACAGAGGAAGCCATGTGAGGAAAGAGCAAGAAGGAGGCCGTCTACAAGCCAGAAAGAGAATCCTGACCAGACCCAACCATGCTGACACCCTAATCTTTGAATTCCATTCTCCAGAACCGGGAGAAAATAATTTGTGTTGCTTAAGCCACCAGTTTATGGCACTTTGTTTTGGCAGCCTGAGCTAATACTGAAAGCAACAGTTCTTTTGGGACTAAGAAGAGGTTCAGACAAGAAGGAGTTAAGTTAGATGCAAAAACTTGCTGACTCCAGGATCTATCTAAAATAATTAAGAAAAAAATTGTAAAGGTTCACATAAAGATTTTGAAGGAAAAAGATTTTAGAAGTAGAGATTTAAAGAAAACTAAATATTTTATCTTCTTAGCTTCTGCAAGAACACATGTAACTCTATCTTGCTTTCTAAATATCCAGAAATATGAAAGCAGGTGGGGCCTCCAAATGACCCGACCTCAATGACTTAAATTTCTTAGAGAACCGGATATAACCATAATACCCTGACCACAGATTGAATACTAATAGTAAATGACTAATAGTAAATCACCTGGGATACCTATAACACTCAGCAGGCAGTAGACATATAACTATCCCCATTATACAGATGAGGAAACTGAGCTTCAAAAGGTAAAGTCACTTGCCCAGGGGCACTGTAGCTAGTGACAGAAACAAAAGGAAAAGCTAACAAACCCTGACTCCAAGTCCATGTTCTTTCTATTTTGCCAGGTTTTTCCATCTGAGTCATTCACGGGTTCTTTTAAAAGAACAAAAACTTTCATGGACTTCACAGACCATATTCCTGCACATCTCATATGTCCTAGAGCACCAGTACTTGCTCTGACCCTGTTTTCAAAAGCTCTTCTAACATATCAAGAGCAAAGAGGACACTACAGTCATCATCATCATTTGGGGGGTGTCTTTACCCTGAGCCCTTTCCTACAAATTCCTTCCCCATACCCTGCCAATTATGCTGGCCCCTAGAAGGTGGACTTGGCTAGTTCCTTTCTTCTCTATAGACACATCTGACTTTTTATTCAGTCAATTCATATCACCCAAATATTTCCTGAGCACCTACTATGTGCCAGGCACTGAGCCAGATACTGGGGAGTTAGCAGTTTATAAGGCACCAACTTGCAGTTAAAGTGGGTGGTAAAACCCTCTCATGATGGGGATGAAGTGAAAAACTGGGCCACACCAACAGCATTCTCAAAGGGTACGTGCTTGTAAGCCCCGGGAAGAGAGGACCAATTGCTGGAAAATAAATGAGTGGCGTGTGTTGGGGATATGAGGCTGGAGAAGCTCTACAGTTTCCCTTCCGTTCAGCACAGAAGTCAAGGCACTGCCCGGGCTGCCAGTCCTCTCATCATAAAGGCTGACTCACTTGGGCCTTAGAAAGCCTCTGCCCCTTCCATGAATATTCGCATCTTACCATTTCCTCTTCCTTTTACCCTTTGTTCACTGAGGCTAGATTCAGCCTGCTCTGTTCGCACCTGCGTGACACCTTGACAGTGTGTGTGTGTGAGTGACAGCTGTGTGTGTGAGTGAAGTGGGTGGCTTCTTTCCCTCTTTCTATCCTCCCCACCCCAAACCATTTCCTCTGATTCTCGGCAGAAAAAAAAAAGGTGCAATGGCTATAGGCTTCTCACTGGGGACAGTGTAAAACCCAGCACCTCTTCCTTCAGTTTTGAGGGCTACCTTCCTAGCTAAGTCTCTTACCTCTATTTTTTACACTGAACAGTTGAGAAATAGTGTGCCCTTTAAAAAGTAGAAAGCAAAATAAAACTAAAAGAAGATCTGTGATTACTTTTAGCAATGGTGGTGGGCTTAGAGGGGCACAGCACAGAGAACACTGAGAGCAGGGAGAACTCCCCAGGGCTTATCTCAAAGTATACCTTCTCCCCACCCCTCCCAATTCCACTTCTTGTAGGGGGATGCACTACAAGAAGTGCATCTAGACAATAGATTACGATTTGCACTACTCCATCCAGTTAAGTGCAGAACACTTTTCATTTATTTAAGGGTATTGGGAATAAAAAATTTTTTAAAGCCTAATATTTTCTACGCAAGCCTGAAATTTTAGTCCCACTTATATTTCAGTTAAGGAAATAGTACTACCATATAAGTTTTTACAAGTCACACTGGGACTTGAAATCAATTTCCCCAAACCCAGAGTCCTGGGTTCTGATGCCATGTGTAAGAAGCAGTAACAACTGCCTCCCTGGGAGGTTGTTCTGCTGAATAAGGTAACGAAATCAGTTTTCATCTTGTAGCCACTGCATTTGAAAAACGAAAAGCCACAAGTTTGAGTGTCCTTTTGGCTTTTATTTTTGTCTTCTCATACATAACCTTTCTTGATGACAATTTAAATGTTGGGAAAATAACTTCTTGCTGAGAAATGCCTTTCCCAAAGTCTTTAAAGACTCACACAAACTCTTCAATGAAATGGACAACTCCTGTCCAGAAAATTACTAAGACAAATAAACACACTTTGTTCTTATAAAAACATCAAATTATGTAAAAGAGAAGAGCTCTCATATGCAAATGTTTTCTAAGTTTCTACCTTGACACTCCATTCTTGCTTTGAGTCCCAGGATTTCACAGGAAAGGGACACTTCAGAGAACCTAAGAAGTTACTAGTAATCCTTTGCTTTGCTATAAATTTTTACACTGGCAAATACATGTTGCCCCTAAAATTTATAAAGCAATTAGATACTAAGCTAAGATTTATACACCCAGCTCTCCACACAAAGTAAGTTTCTCCTACAGCGTTATGGCTCCGGAGGCAAACAGGAGCTTAGATCTCTCCTCAGAAGCCGGCAAGCCCTGGTTGTCATCAAAGTCCAAAATTACTCAGGGTATAAATGGATTTCTTGGCTGCTTCTCAAAACGCTGACAACAATAACACTCATAAAATACCGTGTTACATGTCTATACGCCTGTCAAATTCAACACAAATGCAAGCTCATGAGATACAGAACCAGGAAGGTTTTTTTCAATTAAAGCCCCTGAGTGTCAGAAATAGGAAATGTAATGCCTCAACTTCATTTACTCACGACCAACAATGACAACTAGTACAAGAGGAAAAACTCTGGCAATTTTAATAAAGCAAAGAGCCAAGTCTTTCTTCCTGAATACCTGCAAAATTCACCAGAATGAAGGTCAGCATTTCTAGAAGAAATACAGATTTCTTCCTTGGCATCCTTAATTCTGTAAGAATCCAACCATTTGTTCTGAGGCTACCCATCCAAAGTTTGGCGAGGCCAGTAAGGGGCAGCAGGAGGAATGGAATGGGCAAGAGACTTGGGATTTAATTACAGTGCATCCCCCTACAAGTAGCTTGGACAAGTAGCTTAAACCCAGTCTGAATTTTTTCTGCTGTAAAAGGAAATATTCACAAAAAGCAAGCAGTACTTTTTTTGGAATGAAAATAAAAAGCATAGCAGATGTAAAATCACCTGGCACACAGTAAACATTCAAGAATTATTATTTGTAAACACTAAGATTACTGCCCAGTTAGGTGTGTCAGAAAGCATAATGCACTATTCCATCCAATTAAGTCTAGAGAAAGTCACTGGGCAGTGCATTTGAAGCTAATTAAAATATCTGATATGTCAAGAGGAAAAGCATGGTGATTTTTTTTTTCCTCTTTGCTATTTCCAGGTCAGAACAGATTATATAATGATAAGAATTTGTTTTGGATATGGATGAATGGGTGGATGGATGCATGGATAGATGGAAAACATATGGATGAATGGATGGAAAACATATGGATGGATGGATGGATGGATGGATGGATGGATGGACAGACGCATACATGAATGGATGGATGGACAGATGGAGATTTGGGAATCTCCTTGCAAGACTATCAAAACCCCCAAAGAAAGAGGGAGAATATAACAAATCGTAATCTATTGTCTTTCATTTTTGAACCAGTGATTCCAAAGGAATTAGATGAACTTCTTCACAGCCTCCAACACAACTTTCTTCTTTTGAACACTACTAATTGAGGTCTTGGGTTTCATTCTCTATAGAAAATACTCTTGAGTTAAAAGGCTTAACATTCACATACTCAGATATACAAGATACCAAAGAGCTCAAAAATTTCCAGAGACACATCCAAAAAGATAGCACATCTTTTTCTCATATAATTCACAACAGCAAAAGCTTTGGCCCTTACCTGAAGGTGGGTCCATTCTGTATTTATTCTCTTGACACCAACCAACTGGTCGAAGTCTGTAATCCAAGTAAAACAACCACTGGTCATAGGATTCAGTGTCCTCCAATCCCACATAGCGAAGGCGTAATCTTCCTCCAACATTTTCAATCACACTAACTATCCAGTACTGAAAAGGGTTCTGAGAATCCTGAAGTTCTATTAAGGAATCAACTGTAATGAGGTCTATAGGGCCTTTCCCTCGCAGAGGCTGTTTAAACAGAAGCAAAACTCCTTATTTTAAACTTTATTTTAAGGTTCTCATGGAAACAGATGACAGCAGAAGATAATATTTTTTCACACCATCATCCAAGCTATTGGCAAACAGTCTGGTGTTTCCCTCCACCCCCATCCTTTCCACAGCCCTCGCCCCCTCCCCTTCCCTCTCCTCCCACACACACTTCCATTTACCCAACTATGTCCAACAACAAAAATCACAAGTCAATAGGAAATAACAGTTTGTGCTATGTTCTCACCAAACAAATACCCTTCCCAGATAAAATTGCATTTGTTAGAAATGAGTACACTTTTAAGAAGAGTTATACCGAAATTTGCCTTGAGCTAGAAAACGTGTGGTAGCAGAATGTCTACTTTTCTAATAGACAGATCTATCAAATATGAGACTGTAAGTTTATACTGGGACTCAACAGACATGTATCTTACAATGGCCACTGCTATAGTAATCAAGACCCTCTCATACTTTGAATACGTGCATAAAGCATGAACATGTGTAGATAGCATGTTTGATACATAATGATATATACTAAATTAGAATATTATGTAAAGCTGTGTCTACATTTAACCTGATAGTTGGTTTAGAGAATAAATGTACTTACTGCCCTATATAAGCAACCTTCTTAGCATATGTTAGCATAAGAAAAGGGTGTTTGTTCAGTCAGGCTTGTAGGCAAATGTGTTTTTTAAAAAAAACCTAAAGAGTAATACAATTTGTCCTTTCGAAAGGGTCAACAACCATCATTTTGATTTGTTAACCAAACAATTAAATTAGTAGCCATTAAGATAAACAAATACACTAGGCAAAATCTTCACAGAACCAAACCCTATAACTTAATATGTCAGACAATGGTGTTCCAAAGTATCAATATCTTTTATGACAGGAGGGAAACTTATTGTTAAGGTTAAGAGAATAATGATATTGTCAACATCCACATTGTATTCCTTGTTATTCATTGTGTTTTCCCCTTTTTCAAGGGCATTCTTGAAACATATATGGTAACACAATAATTATCTACAACACACCTTTTACTATATATAATAGAACAGGAATATAAAAATAAAATGTTTCATCATAAAATTATTTACAAATGAACCATCAAGATTTCAGATTTAACTGTTTTTTTCAGTACCATAAATTACCTTAATCATATTTAAATATGGTTAGTCATTTGTCCTCTTGTTATTATAAGAGAGGAGGTTAATTCAATTATTACTTATCATGTGCATATAAACCTTTGGGTTATGCATCCGGAATGAAATAGTTAATGAAACCATTTATCAATATGCTCCCAGACTATACTAGTTTCACCTGTACAAAACAGTTATTCTTCAGGATTTTATTTACATACACTAATAAAGGATAGAGGCTTAAACATATAAGACAGTGAGATGTTCTAACATAGTATTATTTTAAAATGTGTTCACATAGAAGCAAATTCCCCATTTATTGACTGTAGCACAGATGAAGATTTTTCAATGCCATTAGAATCAGAAACCTAAGTAACTTAGGAAAAAACAATGTTAGGCTCTTTGAATATAGATACCTGTGTGTACGCATGTACCTGCGGAAGGATATATGCAAAGGTGCCGTTAGGTTTGAGTTCATGTAACTGATGCTTCAGACATAGAATAGCTGTAAACAATAATACATACACCTTCCAGAAGGTTAGCAGGTGCTGTCCGGGAACCAGTCAAGTCACGAATGAGAAATTCTGTCCAGTCTGTGTACTTTTCTTTGATTGCTGGTGAAACAAAAGAGAGAAAACACTTCAACACCACTCAATTATCAAATAAACTTAAAGGACAGCACTTTGCTGTATATGAGTATTACTTCAATATTTCTCTTAATTTTAAGCACCAATCTTAAGTACTAAAATCACAACAGTTAATCTATCAACAATGGGTGACTTCATACCCACCAGGTGCTTAGATTTTGCTGGGCCTGAGGAGATTAAATAGGAGGTTCTAAAGTCTTGAAAACTATTTAGAAACTTCTGAGAACAACAAAGATATTATAAAGTATGTAATTCAGTTGGTTCCAAGAAGAAAGAGATCAATGAGGGCTGGCAGAATCAGAGAAAGTTTCCCAGGTGAGAAAATAAATCCAGGCTCTGATTTACACAAAAGGCTTATAGAGGTAGAGAAGAGGAAGATGGGACTTTCATATTGACAGGAACAGCACAGGCTAAGGAAAAAAAGAGGAAACAGTGAATCTTAAATTATAAATGGAAGCACTTACTATTAAGAATAAAAGACTACAGTGTTCCTTCCCTTAGAGATTTTTTAAAAAACAACCTACATTAATTTTTCAGAGGGTTTGAATTAAATTGTTCCCATAAACAGGAGGATATATCCTGAAAGGATTCAACAGGACTGATAAGCTCCTACTATGTGCAATGGACCCTGTAACATACTACTGGGGCTCAAGCACATAGATATAAGTATTCCTCTTCTTAATAATAAACACAGCCCAGATAAAGATAAAACTTGTGAAGAATTTTATAAAAATTATACATACACAGAGACACACACATTCCTTAGTACTTAGGAAACTCTATTTCAACTTTAGCACTTTTTCCGATGTACAAATATACTTGTATAATTACAAAAGGCAGTATCATTATTTTGCTCTGAAGTACAGGCTTTAACAAAGACATTACCTAAGAATTGGTGGAAGCAAAGGACAGACTTTTCACAGTGGTAACATTAGGTTAAAATAGGAAAGACAAGAACCTCAGAATATTCTCCATAATTAGACCACTTAATATTTATGTCATTAAAACCTCAGACAGTATATATGCAAACCCTTAAGAGAAAGGCCTTTGCTATCTAACATTCTACACATTGTTATGGCATCATATGTGACTTTTAATGGAGACTCCTTCATTGGGCGGTTGTAAGCATTAAATGAGAAAATAAATATAAACTCCCCAGTAATTATCACACATTTACAGTATCAATCAAGCCTTGTAAAAAGTGTTCTTTGAATCCAGAGACATAGAAGCATAGAACAACACACTGTGGAATCTCAGAGGAAAGGGTGGGGGGGGAAGAGATCAACCAAAGAACCTGTATGCATATATGCATAATCCATGGACACAGACAATAGGGTGGTGAAGGCCTGGGACAGGCTATAAGGGGTCAATGGGAGAAAAAAGGGACATATGTAATACTTTCAACAATAAAGATTTTTTTTAAAAGGGTTCTTTAATAATGCAACTAACCATTCCTTCTTTAATGCACTCAAATACTTAATAACATGCTAACTTTTAAAAAAAATCTCAAGCTGATGTAATTGAGCTAATAATTTATTGCAATCCAAATTAAACTTTTAATAAACTTGTACATCAGATCATGAATACAAAATGATGACCATGGGAATAAAAATCACAGTATTTTATTAATTTGAAACATTATAATTAGAATAAAAATTCCTTCCAGCATATGATGGAACTTTTTAGCCTTCTAATCTTTTAATTTCCCTTCCCTAATGTGGGTATTAATGCTAATTTCACCATTATGATCACAGCATGAAACACTGACAAACTGGTAGCCCACACACAAAAATCTACCTTATGGAAAAGAAGTCCTAATGTAAACTGTTATGGGAATCCAATGCATTTTTAGCTTCTATTCCTGTCTCTTCATATTATTATAAAATTGATTACCCATTATATAGTAGTAAAATGCCATCTCTCTGTCTAAGCATACTAGTAGCAATAATATTCTAACACAACAGGATACATGGTGCACAAAGATCATTATTCCACAGTCACTTATTCATGTTTTTATGAGAACAAGATCAATAGTGAATAGATGATACACAGTGCTTACATCAATATGAATGTTTACGCACACAGCTATTTATACTTTTTTTTAATTGACGCTACAGAGCACAGTATAGTTCCTGTAGTCTACATTTCTTCCTCATCCAAATCAAACTTCTGTTCTTGCTGTTACACACAAAGCACCCCGAAACAAGAAATGCAGCACTGTCGAGACAGTAATCATAAAGCTCAGAATTCAAACCAGATTTCTTCGTACTTATATTCCAATCTGGGTTAAGCAGTTACTTTATAACTTTACTTTCATCAGTAAGTTATTCCTACAATTCACACAAGTCACATCTTACTGAAAAGTGAATTTATTCTAATAAGCTCTTATGGTATTTTATTATGCCTGTTTAAATAAGGCAAATACCTCAGTAAATACCAGTTTGCAGTAATGTATTGCTGAGGGGATTTTGGGAAATTGCATAATATTTTTTGCCAGCTCCTCAGAATGCATCCAATGCCATCTAGGGGAACAGCAGTAAGGAGTGCCCCCGTCAGGGACACACACAGTGGCGCTTGCCTGAAGGTGCCATCCTGCCTCCATGTCTATTCTCCGTCCCTAAAAACCACCACTCCCAATCTTGTTGCCCAGATCCAGCGACTTTCCCATCCTCTGCTATCCACCATCCCCATCTTTGCCTTATTCTGCCTCCCCATCTGTGCCTTTGGGAAACTAGAGTAACTATAACTGCAGCATAAAGGAAAAACCTGAGCCACGCCATCACCCACAAGTTCTAGAACCACCCTTCCTTTTTAACAAATCACTTTGAACATTCTTTTCTGAAAAGTCAATGCCCCATTTCTTTGCTCCCCTCCAAAACCAAACTTACACTAAGATTTCTCTCCACCCACCATTCAACCCAGTCAACTTCCTCCCCCACAAACTACCAAACCACTGAACTGCGTTTTTCTCCAAAGACCTGCACATCCCCACACCAATGCCTTCTCAAGCCTTACTTGGATATTTGACATAAATGACCACTTCCTCCCTCACAGTGTCCTCTAGGGGTCTCCTCTACTCAACTTCCGATGATTCGGCGTGTTACTTAGAAACTGGTCCAAGGCCGGCTCTCCTTTCTTCTCGCTGTGTGGTCTTCCATGGACAATCTTATACATTCGCCTGACTTCAATCACATCAATACCATCAACTGCCAATTTCTCTCTACAAACCAGACCTCTTTTCTGAGCCTCAGAATCACAGATTCAATTGCCTGATTATCAGTGAGGTTTAGAATCATGACATTATGTTAATTCAGATTTCTTTTCTGGGAACTTACTATTTACATCCCTTGATCATTTTTCTATATACATATCTTTTTTTAAAAAATGTTGACTTTTAGGAGCTCTGTCTATATTAGATATTAATTCTTTGTTAAAAATAGCAAGGCTCTAACTTAGTATATGATATGCAACATGAGCCTTTAAAAAGAAGACATGAGATCATTTTGCTCAGCCCTTGAATCTTAGAATAGATTTCAAGCTCTTCAGCCTGGCTCGATGTCCTGCATGACTGGTCCCTCTGCACTAATCTTCCTGTGCTGTCCACACTGGATTTCTCTAAACTCTCCTTCTACTGGGCCCCATTAGGGTTTTGCACATGCCCTTCCTTCTGAGACGAAACACTTTCTCCCTGTCTCCTCATCATCTCACCCATCACTTCCTCCTTGACCTCTGCTAACTTCTAAAATCAACTGTATTCTCTCCTGGAAGCTCAAATTCTTTCCCTTCATAAATTTAATGCACTTTATGATTATATGTCTGTACATTTGTCTGATGACAGTTCCCACCTAACTGTTCACTCCAGGAGGCTAGGAACCATCCACATACATTGTGTTACTTCTGTATACCCAATACCTATAACTGCACATAGTAGGTGTTTAATAAAATTTTGGCACTGGAAGGAAGGACTAACAGATTAGATGGTTCTATAAATTGTATCTGCTTCACTAATATTTTGTTGAAACAGAACTTACTGAATTCAGGTGAAGAACAACTGTTACCATGGATAGTACACGGTCCTTTCAGTAAAATACAATTTAACTCAATAGCACATCATCAGCATTCAGTGATGGCGAACCTATGACACGCGTGTCAGAGGTGACACGTGAACTTTTTTTTTGGTTGATTTTTCTTTGTTAAATGGCATTTAAATATATAAAATAAATATAAAAAATATAAGTTGTTTTACTATATTTAGTCAAACATTATCCTGGATGAGGATGTTTGTGGATGACATTGACATTGAACTGCCATTTCTTTTTGTTTTTTTCTCTTATTTGCCTTGTTTCATTTGTTTGTGTGATATTAGTTATCATTTAAGACTTTAGTTTCAGCATACATAACCCGAAAAGCCAGAGACCTGCCCATTTAATTGAGATGGCAATAATGTCTTATATGCTAGGGCAGACACATAATACTTCTCTAGAGTTCTCCTTATGAGTTAGTACACAATATGAGTCCATTAGGCAACACAGATACTGTTCATTTCAGACAAAGGCATCATCCAGAAATTAAAGAAACACAAGGTACTACATACACCTCCATACTTTATCCTTAAGGGACCATCTGCTTTCTCTGAAGCACCCCAGAACCTCTTAGCACTAGAAACACCCAAGACTTACAAAACAAAAGCCATACAAATATCAACTATATATGGCATTCTCTAGACACAACTCACATTACTCTACATCCTGTTTCTAAGAGCCCAGAAGATAAAAAGCCTCTAAAACTATTAGAAGAAATTTAAAACCTTATCATTGTTCTCTGGTAAAAGATTTTTGTCCATTAGAGTATGGACTTTCATTCTCGCAAATTTTCTCCAATTCTTTTCTAGCTACTAATATCTCACTTTATAGACATTTCTGCTATTGCTTTAAATATTTTCCTGCTTTAAAAAATAACCTTCCAAA